TTAGATTAATCTTACTAAAGTTAACAAAAAGTAGATCTGAACAAGATTTGTATTAAAGGTTATTTTTTCTTCCGAAACTGTTGAACAGGTCTCTGGGGTGGCTGGAGTGGTGATTCAAATGGCAAATGTTCCACCTGCTAGTGCTGGCATCCTGTAAGGGTGTTGTATTCCAGCTGCTACACTTATCATTCAGTTCCTTGTTTGTCATCAGGGAAAGGAGCAGGGAATGTCCCAAAGCAGTGAATGGAACCCTGCATCCACACAGAAGATGCACAAGGAGCTCCTGGGCCCTGGCTTCTGATTGGTTCAGCTCCAGGCCAGTGGCCTTTTAGGGAGTGAATCACCAAATGAAAGATCTTTGTTTCTCCTTTGTTTCTCCTTCTCTCCTCTCTGTATATCTGCATTTCCAACGAAAATAAACATATCTTTTCTTCTTCTTCTTTTTTTTTTTTTTTAGGACTCTAGGAGAGCAGAGACAGTGATGAAGCAGCACAGCTCTGAAGACCAACTCTAACCTAGATTTTGAACCCTTCGTAATTCATTTGTACACAAAAAAATCAACCCTCAAAGAGTTCTGAGTGGCTTCTACCGGAATTGTCAATATACTAAAGGCGCTTCCACCAAACCTGACACATTTTCTTTTTCTATAAATCATGATACAAAGTCTTCAAAAAATTAATGCAAAATGTGTACTGTATACAGACTGCATACCTTTTAATGTTTTACACTAAATTAAACATTATTTAATTCCATTTTCCATGAACTTTCTTAAAAGGACCTTTGGGTTTACGCTGAACACTTATCTATGCATTCCACAAGAGCTTGTGTTTTAGAAGTTTGTTGCTTATTATTTATTTATTTATTTATTTTTACTGATCAATCACACAGTTACTAATAATGGTTCATGGATTCATAATGGAGACTTGATCTAAGTATGATGTGTGGAGAGATGATGTTATGATGCCATATATAACATCTGTGATGTTAATATCCTGTTAGCAAATCACCCATTTGTAACCTGGGTGCTCCCCTTCCAATCTCGCTCCGTGGTAATTCACCTGAAAAAGCAGCAGTCTAAGGACCAGATCTTTATTTCCCACATGGGAGAAGTGAATGAATGAGGATTTGAGCGAAGTTCCTGACTCCTCGCTTCAACCTGGATCAGGCTCAAAACTTGTGGCTGTATGGGGTGTGAACAACAGATGGAAAAGTGGAAAAAATCTCTCTCTCCTCATTTTAACTCTTTAATAAATAATACAATCTATTTTTTTTTAAACTTCAACAATTATTTTGATATTTGGGAGCTGCAGCCTAGTGGGCAGTTGTTAGGTCATAGGGCATGACCTTGGAAGGTGGTTCTCCTGAGAGGCATGGATGTAAGACCAAGCTGGGATTTGTACACCCTTCTCTCTGCTTTCAATTTTGCTATGTTATCCTTTCTTTACTTGTGCTCTCCCATTGTCGCACTCCAGCTTCATCAGGTGGCTGGACAATTACGGTCTTCCTGATAGTGAACTGTGAACCTCCAAAACTACAAAATAAGCCACCTTCTTTCATAAATAGCTTTCTTTTGTTAGGTAGTTAATCTTAGCAATGAAAACCTGACTAATACACATTTTAGGACTTTCTCCTGCTGTTCGGAAAACTCAGCCTCTGCCACATACTGGCAGTCCAGCCTTCTGCTTTCTCTTGGGCTCCTTCTTGGATTTCTGGCTGTTTCCACAGGTCTTTTCATTTCTGCTTAATCAAGAACCTTCCAACCCTGATCCAGAGTATAGGTACTTAGTTCAGAGATTCCACCCTGAAACTATTACCTATCTTTAGACATGCAGGAGCCTACCATCTTGAAAAACTGAATTGAAGAGAATCAGAGAAGAAAAAAAATCCTGTCCCTTGATAGTATTGTTTTCAGACAATAGTTTTCATGTTTTTCCATTGTATTCACTTTACAAAATAGGCAGCTTTCACACTGTTTCCCTACTGAACCTGTGTTTAGTAGTGTAGTTTCATTCCATGATTTTTTTATTAAAACTCTTTCACCAAAATTAGTGATTCACAATTCACTAAATTAAATGGCTTATTTTTTATCTTCATTCTTCTTTCACCTATGCATTTATGTCCTTATTCCTCTTGTTCTGAAATATATTCTTCTCTTCTGCCTGAATTCATTTTTTTCTACTTTTGAAGAGAAATTGTTCCCCTAGTCATTCTTGTTTTATATTTAGGGACACTCTTATAATACATATGTATTTTTCTTTTCTGTGTGTGGGTTTTAGAAACATAATCAAACAATTTCTCTAAAATTGATTATCCAAAACTTATTATATCTTTTGCTAATTTTAGACATTGAAAGAATACAATTTGTTTTTCTTAATGCAGAAATGAAATCTGTGACAATGAATCAACAATCAAGAAATGCTGGGAACAATCAAGTGGAGTGGAACTTACTGAATATCATCAACAAACAAGCAACAAGCAGAGAAAAAAAAAAAAACCCTCAGTTTTTTAGGAAAAGGATCAATGCTCCGAAACAGAAAGTATAATTCTGGAAAGAAGTTCAGATTATCTACTGATTGCTTTAGCCATTAAATTACAAGCTATCACAACCATACAACACATCCTATGAATCTTTTATGATACACAAAAATGAACAAGTTTTAGATATTTACATGGCCTCCAAGAAAATGTAAGCAAAATTTTATATATGAAAACGGTCTACTTACTTTCATTAAAAAAATGTTATTTTCTAAAAAATATTTTTTGCATGCAATTCTCATAGAGATTTCGAATATTACAGTTACAACAACTCATAGAAACTTCATGGGCCTGGCAGCGTGGCCTAGTGGCTAAAAGTCCTTGCCTTGAATGTGCCAGGATCCCATATGGGCGCCGGTTCTAATCCCCACAACTCCACTTCCCATCCAGTTCCCTGCTTGTGGGCTGGGAAAGCAGTTGAGGACGGCCCAAAGCTTTGGGACCCTGCACCTGTGTGGAATACCTGGAAGAAGTTCCTGTATCCTGGCTCTGGATCAGCATAGCATCGGCCATTGTGCTCACTTGGGGAGTGAATCATCGGACGGAAGATCTTCCTCTCTGTCTCTCCTCCTCCTGTATATCTGACTTTGTAATAAAAATAAATAAATCTTCATAAAAAAAGAAACTTCAACTCATTCTTTCCTATCTCACAATGCTAGGCAGCTCACCCTCACCATGATAATAGAGGAGCCCATGAGTGCTGGAATTCCCATGGGTCTCTATGGCAACACCCTTCTGCTTGGTCTTGGATAAAATATAAAAGATACGAGCATTTGTTTTGGAGAAATAGACAGAATGCGAGAAATCAATAATCCCAACTCCTTCAAACGAGAGAGAAACACTTTATCTGCAGTTTCGATTAAGGACAGGATCCTATGACTTATGTAATGATGCCTCTAAAATATTAAGTAGTTTATGCTAGATCTACAGAAAATTCCTATTGCATTTTGTCCTATTTAATGATACTGTGAAATTTAACTGCTGTAATATTTTGGGAGGGGATAAACGGGGATAAAGAGCAAACACTTGTGTGATCACCAAGCCCAACGGGAAGATGAGAGAAGGAAGAGGAAGAAGCACTGATACTTATCCTACCGAAATTTCCCATTATTCATAGAGACCAGTGATTAACCCAGGTAAGTGTTGAAGGGGGGAACTCCTGAACATTTCCTGTGCCTTAGTTCATGACTGAAGACCAACTGTCTGAGAGCTGTAACACTAGACCAAGAAAGCTGGGAGGAAGACATTAAACACACAGTGCCCAGAGAGAGCAGCCAGTGCCAAGTCTGTCTTCAGTACCAATCTTACATACACATCACAGCAGTTCCTTGCTATCCAGGGAGGAGCTGTTTCCAGGATTCTCATGGATACCAAAATCCATGGATTTTTGTATATAATGGTATTGTACTTTTGCATATAATGGTATTCACATATAAGCCAAGACATAACTTGTCATATACTTTAAATCATGTAGGTATTTAGTACATTATAAATGTTATGCAAATGGTTGTGATACTGCATTGGTTAGGAGATAATAACAATGGAAAACATTCTGTTCAGATTAATTTTTGGTTCACAATACTTGTGATCTGGTAATCCTATTATACAAGCTTAAGTTGGAACTGCAAGCACATGAACATACATATGCTATTGCATATTTTGCTGCAAATTGACTTGGTTACAAGAAGTCTTAAAACACACTAGAGAACAAATCAACTAAGATTAGATGACACATCAACTTTCATTACTGATTCTGGATAAAAAATTTCATAGCATATCCTGATTCCTTATCAATTTGAAATATTCAGTATCTCAACACAGTAATGCTATTTACACAAGAATTTAAATACACTCCTAATCATCTGACTTTGGACTGCTTAAATGGTATGTGCCTTATTATTGTCAGAAAAAAAAGAACAATTGCAAAACTGATAAATGGCTAAACTAAAAATCTAAAAGTGCAAAACATTTATAAAGGCTTGGACTCCTTAAGTACTTCACATAAAATATTACAATAAGAATATTCAGCAAATTGGAAACCTCATCTCTGCCAGTTAATAATAACTTGCATACCTCAAACTTAATTTTATTTTTTCCTTCTACATATGTGATATGTGTAATGTAACATAAGATTTAATTGCTTCTTAAACTTGTTTACATGGTTAAGTATTACAGAAAAAAATTCCCTAGAATAAATGGAGATTTCTATTTGTAAGTTCCATATTTTAACTATTTTGCACTTTCTAATGGCACTAAAATTAATGTCAAAATATGAGCTGATACATTTTTAAAAAATCAATGTAATGAAGTTTTCAGCTCTGCTTATCTGTTTATTTCAGATGAACTGAAAATCATTTTAATTTTCCCAATATATGCTATTTTATTTTTTTGATTCTACCTGACCTCTACTGAAGACTTATAAACAAGAAACGAACACTGCTGTTTTCTGTAGCTTGCATACTTACAATCAGGAGGCATTTTTTCCATAAATACTTTATAATACTCTTTTAGCAGTTCAAAATTTTCTTGATTAATATTTTCTTGCAAAGAGACATCTCCAAACCTAAAATTAGAAGCAGAGAAACAATTATGAAGTATAAATTAGCACTAGAAATTAACATTTTTTTTTACATGAAGGCTGAGTTTACTTTTGGAGGCAGGCTGTCATAGAAAGCAACACTAATACTTCACAATGATGATTTCAAAGATGTTCTAGTCACCACTGACCTGATTCAACCAATCCACTCTGATACACCTAAATATTCTCATAACCATCAACTGTGTAGAGAAATTAACTAGCAAATATAAAGTGTGAGTCTATGTGCATGTGCCTATTTGGTACTCAGCTAATAACAATTTACCTTGTCCATCTTGTACTTCTTTGTGGGGACTTTACTTCTCTATGTATTTAAAAAGAATCCCCTTTTCCTCTTTTTATCTGTCCGATTTTCCATTTTCCCTGTGAGAGTCTACAGAATGGTCCCGAACACCAGGGCCAGACACTGGGTTGTGTGCAGTCCAGCACACTCAGTCTGCAGGCACAGGCAGAGCCTTTCAACCTCCTGGAGGTTGGTTCACTCAGACCCAGGCCGTAACACCACCGTCTCCACAGCAGTGTCCTCTCTCTCCTTTCAAATGCCTCACTTAGCTTGTCTTCCCTCTGAGAATTTTCCCAGTTCAACATTGGAGTCTATTTGTCCAATTCTACAGAAGGATCCTGTGTAATTAGCTTCCAGCTTATATCTCCACCCAAACCAGCTTTTCTAAGTTTCAGATGAAACATTCAATGTGACTCTCCCATCCCACTTCAAACCCAACATAACTCTAAACTGGAAGAAAAAAAAATTTTTTTACATGATTCTATCCACAATATTTGTCATAAAAACTCGGATTCAGTATCTACACACTATTTTAAATGTCCTAATTTGCTGCCACTCTTCTTACTATACTTTGGTCAATTAAACATCAGTTTCTTCTCACTGGGATTCTGTCATTATATATTAGGTATTTAAGAGTCTCATGCTCTACCGCCCGAGCTAGGTGGGCCACATTTTATTAGGTATTTAACAACACGCATTCTGCACTCTCTCAAAGCTTTCAAAGTGTCAAATGATATTCTTCCAATTTCTCCCCTTTCAGTGTACCCTCCACAACACAGTCAAATCTCCCATTCATTTAACGCATGTTAACTTTAAGTTTAGCCACATCCCATGCCCCCTTGTACTGTGAAAGGTCTGAAATGTTGGAAAAGTTCATCTAGCATGCATTTCATCGCCAACAGATCTGCCTTTCTTCTCCCTGTGGGGGTAAAGAACACTCTCTGTAGTTTTGTACTTAACCTCTCCGTTATTACTTCTGAAACATCTTTTGGGAATGTAGTTACACTATGTACCCTCAACATCAGTGAACAATGCCTCTGAGACTTTCCTTTTACAAACAAGGCAGCCCTCACTTTCTTCTGCCCCGCACCTCCCCTGCTCTTAACTTTCTGGCAAGAGTGTCTATTTTCCTAATTGAGTTGACAGATTCTTATCCCTTATTCAAAGTGCAGGAGAAAGCTCCTGTTTTCTCTAATCCTATTGAAAGGCAGCCAGTTTTATCTGTGAATCACTGTTTCTCCTATCCTTCTTACTCCCTTCTATCTGTGATTATGGCATGACTCAAACCATAATATGTATTTGTTAACTTGACAAACTCATAAGAAATCCTGCTTTCTGTCACTATCTGTTCTTTCTGTATCTGAAGGCTTGGAAGCACCAGTTAGAGAATAAATGTCCAATTCCCATAGTCCCAGAAAGTGCATCTCCTATAGGATGCCAAGTTGGTACTGTTTATCTTCTGGGACCAGTTCAATGCATTGAGCCGGGACTGAGCTTTACCCTGGCTTAGTACTTGTGCAGTTCACTGATGTCATTTCAGCCCCACAGCCTTTTCTTTTCTTCAATATACAAAATGCTACATGATATGGCACTTGTGGGCATCTGAGCCATGAAATCCACCCTGTTCCTGCACCCACCTGCTTGGGTTCTGCCACTCTGCTTCTGCTCATGGTCCAATCAAGTAAATCAGTAGAATGGTCAGTTCTATGCCTACGGAGCTCCTGGTGAACTCCTCTTCCTACCTGGCCACTGGTAGAGCTCTGATCACTGAGCACTACTGGGGTATCTAGTTTCTGCAACACTGCTCTGCTGTCTGCTGTTTCCCCATGTCCATACGTCTCCAGGTGTCCCTCTGCCATCAACCTGTCCTCTCCTATTTGCTGGGATTGAAGTCTCTCTAACTCATTTTGGGGAATGATTTTCTGTCTACTTAAACATGTCCGTACCCTATTCCACCATCTTGTTTCTCAAAAATTCTTTTTTAACACATAAAATTTGTTGAATGGTTAGGAGAGACATCTTTTAACCAAGTGACTGTCAACTTAAGTAGTTACAATCTCATGAATAATACAAAATAATTCAGTGTAAAAAAAAACTTGAAAATACAGTGTTATCCAATCCTTGAAAAGTCTTTAAATGCACGAGTCTCATTTATTTCTGAAAATCACAACCATAAGCTTTAACTCACTAATTCAAAATCAAACATCTCTACATTCCAACATAGTAAAATATCCAATTTAGAGTACTGATTCGTTTCCCAGATTGTATAATTTTCAGTAATATTAGTCATCTAAAACACTAAATTTGCTCTAAAATCAGTCATATACATACGTGTGTGTGTGTGATTGCATGCATATCTTACAGTAAATTCGGGGTTTTAGATAGACACATATTCATATATAACTAGAATATAAAGAAATCTTGAATACTGATTTTCAAACATTTAATTGCCCCTGAGAGCTTCTTATAAAATAAAATGAACAAAATTATATTCTGATTTGTATGTACCATACAGAGATTAAAAGCTTCCACTTACTTTGAAATTAGCATAAAATATAAACCTTTGCTATCTACTTTGTTACTGACAAATTAAAATTATGTAAATCGGTGATGCCTAGGAAATATCTTTTGATAAGATGTAGAGGAGGATAAACAATTTCCAAAAAACAGATGGCAGTGGGCTTCTTGAACATCACTGCTATTCAAGAGGGCTCTAATGCTTACAATCTTTCTATTTTTGCAAAAACTTACAATGTATTTAACAAGTCATGCAGAAAATAAACTTAGACAAATTCAAACGGTTATTTAGGAAGGAAGGAGAGATACAGAGTTTGTTATGCACAAGAAAATATCTTAAGTATAAAGCAAAGAAAGTATCCAAAATTCTACCTGTGTGGAAACATTTCGAGTCACACCTTGCAACAATGGATAACATCTTTGCTGAAATACTCCATAACTGTGTTATGTGAACTTTAAATATTCACAACACTTGCTGTTATTCATAAACTATGTAAAATATAAAATTTCTTTTCTCAAAAATAGTAGTTTTTCAATCAATCATTGGAATCATGTACAATCATTTGTAGTTCCACAAAGAAAATTATTACAAAAAGACAGTAACATTAATCACAAAAAATATTATAAAAAGGATAATTAGATTTACTGCAAATCCATGAATTTTTCAAAATTAAATCAATTCACAACAGTGATAAGTATGAACATAGAAACCTAAAACTGCTACATGAATTAGTATTAGTTTCAATGTTTTTCTCAATATTTTTGCAATATTTACACTTGAGACATGATTCCCACAATATAAATATTTTACCCTGTACCAAACAACTTTGTACTATAAATTAGAAAATGTTGTTCTCATATCCAAGTTCTGTGTTCCTGAAACACAGGTTTACTCAGCATTCACTAAAAGAAGGAAAAGTAAATAAAAACCAAATACCAATTTTATACTTGAAGCTTACCTCTCAGCAAGAGTTTGCTGTTCATTGATTCCAACATTGAAAAGAACTGGATGCACATGAAGCAGCTGTCCTTCTTTAATCTGTAGAGGTAGCAACTCAAACATCGCAGCTGGAAGCTTGACCTCCACCACATAATGTTCACTGATGGAGGTGAAGGACAGAGGGAAGAATTACATATTTAATTTGCATTATGCATTTTTTTGAAATCACTGCTATAAGAAATAGTGTGAGAACACAGCACTGATGTGGTTTTTGCCTGCTATGTGCTTATGTTCTGTTGTTTATTCACTCAAAAATCACTCACTCATTTCTTTATTAAATTACTTGGCATAAGGAAGTAGAAGAATTTGCTTATATGTTTAATTTCTTTTAATTACTATGAGCTCATTCAGGAAAGGAGGCAGGTTTAACTCATTTTTGTATACTCAGGAAATAGATGGTACTAATTTTTTATTTATTTTTATTAAAATGTCAGTATATTTTGATACAAAACAATTTATAAATCCACACACACTTTTATAAAAATTTATTTTATTATTTTTTGATTCAGTTCCTTGGGTTCTGCAATTGCCCTTCCCCCATCTCCAAATCTCCATCCTCCCACTGATTTCCCTTAAATCATGACAACAGAACAGTCCTCCATAATCAGTGATAAGTCCATCATTCCGATACATAAGGGTATTCTGCCATTGTGGGTATGAACAATGACAAGAATCCAGCATCCTTTTTTCAAGATACATTTAATAGTTTCATTGAGTCCATCATTATTTTGAAAGTATAGTTGAATACTGCATATTATCTCCACATCTGGATGTGGCAGTTCCTATCATAAGGTTCCTATACACTGGCTTAAATGAAAATCCACAAAACAAAATCAACAACAGGAGGGAAAAAAAAGAAAATTAGCAGCATGAAGTTAAATAACATGTTAGTATATGAAAGTAGTATGAAAGAAAATCAAAAACCTTCTTGAAGCAAACAACTACTCTATGATCTATGAGTCAGTGAAGAATTTAATAAGAAAAAAATTTTTTTAATGAATGAAATAAAAACACAAATATCAAAATCTACGAGATGTAGCAAAGGCAGTATTAAAAGGGTTATTGATCTTGCATTTTGCATAATGGTTGCCTTACATCACAGAAAACCTGATACTGTCCTTCAGGGATTGACATCTTTCATTAAGCATAATGGTCTCAAATTGGGACCATTTGGTAGAATGGTAGAATTTCACTATTTTTACTATCTGAGTAGTATTCTATAGAGTAAATATACAATAGTTTCTTTATCCACTCCTCTTTTAATGGGCATGTGGGTTGTTTCCATGTCTTTTTTATTGTTGATTATGCTGCTATGAATATTGGACTATGACCCCTTTTAACATGCAGATTTCATTTCCATTGGTCATATTCCCAGCAGAGGGACATCTGTATCATAAGGCAGGTCAATTTTCATTTCTTTTAGCACTCTTCATATTGTCTTCCAGATGGTTTTACTAGCCTACCTTCCCACCAATAGTGAAGGAGGGTGCCTTTCTCCTCACATCCACACCAGCAGATGCTGTTATTAGAGTTCCTAATACAGGCCAATCTGACTGGAGTTAGGTAGAATTTCAATATGGTTTTCATTTGTATTTCTCTGACAGCAAGGGAGTGTGAGCATATTTTCGTATGTCTGTTAGCCATTTGAATTTATTCTTTAGAGAAAAAACATCTACTCATTTACTTTGCCCATTTCTTCACAGGCTGTTTGTTTTGCTGTTGCTGAGTTTCTGAAGCTATCTGTGTCATAGCTATCAGTCCCATGTCAGTTGTGTAGTGTGCAAACATTTTCTCCCATTCCATTGATTGCTTCTTCACTTTGCTGATCATCTCCTTTCCTACACAGAAGCTTCTTAAGTTAATGTAGTCCCATTTTATTTATTTTGGCTTTGACTACCTGTGCTTTTGGGGACTTTCTAAGAAGTCTTTCCCAATACTTATGTCTCTGAGAGTGCTTCCTATGTTTTCCCCCAATGGTTTTATGGTTTCAGGATGCAGATTTTTGTGTTTGATTCATTTAGTGCTGATTTTTGTCTAAGATGACAGGTGGATTCTTACTTCTTATCTCTGCAGGCCATTATCCAATTGTCCCAAGAGCATTTGTTGAAGAGACCAGACTTTTGCCCCTGGATTATTTTCAGTTCTCTTAACAAAGGTTAGTTAGCTACTCCTATGTAGGTTCCCTCCTGGGGTTTCTATTGTTCTATTGATCGTCTGCTCTGTTTTCGTATCAGAACCAGACTGTTTTGATGACCCCTGCACTGTAGTATGTCTTGAGGTCTGGAATTGTAATTCCTCAACCTTGATTTTTATTCTTCAGGATATCTTTGGCTATTCATGGTCTCTTTTGTTTCCAGATAATTTTTGTATCATCTTTCCTGTTTCTGAGAAAAATGTTGCTGGGATTTTTATCAGGATCACATTGAATCTGTACATTACTTTCGGTAATATGGACATTTGGATGATGTTGATCCTGCCCATCCGGAACACGGTTAATTTCTCCATCACTTAATGTCTTATTCTATTACTTTTTTTTTAAAGTTTTGTAATTTTCATTATAGAGGTCTTCCATATCTTTGGTTAGGTTAATTCCATAGTATTTGAGATTCCTCTCTGCTATTTTAAAGGGGGTTATAAGTACAATTTCTTTCTTAGCCATGGAGTTATTTGTGTACACTAGTTTCATCAATTTATGTTCATTAAGCTTGTATCTATTGGAATCAATAGTCTCTTGATTGAATGTACTGGTTCTCCTAAGTAAAGAATCATGTTGGATAACACTACTAGCATTTTGTTTCTCTCTGGTGCTTAAAACCAGCCTCCTATTTCTAGATCATGTTCATGCATGTGACAGTTGATAGTCCCTGAGTTACCACATGGTTTTTGGCTATTGTTAATTGTGCTTCGATAAAGATTCAGCTATAGAATTTTGTGCAAACATGGTTAATTATTTTAATAGTCATATGACAATTGAAACTTGATTTATGAGGCTGCCAAAATCTTCAACGAGGCTGCACCATTTTTGTTTTGATGTGTTTATAAATCATACTTACATCTTTTCAGTTCTAATATGTTACACATTTTAAATCAGGATTTTGTTTTCATATTGATATGTAAGTTTTTTATAAACTACAAAACATAAGCCTTTACAATAGATACTTTGTCATCTATGGCTATATTTAATTTTTAATTATGTTTTTGTTTCAATTTGTTAAGAGAAGGTAATTTGGCTCAAAGTTCTGATTAAAAAAAAGGGCCTGTATTCAGTGATTGCCTCGGTATTGGCAAAGTTTATGGCATGACATGGCAAAAGACAGAAAGCTTGTTTGTGTCTCACTGGTCTCTATTTTTAAAGACATTAGCATCCAATAAGTCATAGGGTCATTCGCTGACACTTGGATGAGCTCATCTGATCCTACTCACCTATCAAAGCTTGCAAGTTCATGATTTGGGAATGAGCATTTGGTACTGTGGTTTAAGGCTCCTCCTGGGTACTTGTTCCACATAGCAGAGTAGCTGGGTGTGTGTCCTGGCTCCACTTTGGGTTTTCAAAAATGTAATTATTTATTTCTTACTTATTTGTTTGCTTGCTTGCTTGCTTACTTTTTAAATTTGAAAGACATAGTTATACAGAGGAAGAGAGACAAAGGTAGAAGTTATACACAGTGCTTCTCCCCAACTCTTATTAACATCTGGAAATTTTTAAAAGTGCTAACACCAGAATGGTTGAAACTTGGAGAACTTCTGATGCAATCAACTTATCAGAGACTAACACTCTTCTATTGCAAGCCTATGCCACATACAATCATTCTTATTTTTGATATTTTGCTTATCACACACTGACCTTCAAAGCTATTTATTTCAAAACGCTTCTCGGAAATCTCACAGTCTGAATGAATTGTCAAAAATAATTAAGAAAAATGGTAGCAAATGCCCCTGACACAGGAATATATCTTTTCTAAAATGTCTCTGCTTTTACTGAATTTAATTTAAAGTCATTTCAAAAAGCATGACGCTATTAACTGAATGATTCCCGCAAATGTAAAAACATTGAGAGCTTTAGATCACAAATTAATAAAGAGAATCCTGTTCTTTTCATACTTGCTATTGTTTTGAATGTCTCATTATCATGGGAGAACATTACCATATTGAGTTCATTACAATGTATTAATGCTCAGAAAAACATCTAGGAACCTTTTTAAAAGACTTCCCCTGGTCAGGTCACCTGCATCTATTTAACAGGAAAAAAAAAGATCAAAAGACTTTTTCCCAAACTGTGTCGAAATTCCCCTTGACTCTTTTGTGAGGAGTTCATGCAAAATACATTAAAAAGTTGAGTCTTAAGGAAATGGGGCATCTCTTACCGTCTTCCTGTTATGACTGGCAAGACATCATTCGATTTGGCTTCAGTGATTTTAAATGCTACTTTCTTTAAATCTGAAATGCCAACAGCCATGTCCTCTAGCATTCCAATTTCATCACCTAAACGAAAGAAAATACACTGAGCTACAAACGTACTATCTGAATAAAATGTCATGGCTACTATACCTCCCTGCTGGGATTTAGTCTAGCCTTTTAGTGAATGAGATTCTGAATGCAGTGAATCCATTCTGAATGCTATTCTTCCGAGATGGAAGGTTTTCATCAGTGAAATAAGAATCATCTAAAAGGACTTCACAAGTCAATGTGTACACTTTGAGGAAACTAAAAAAATCATCGGCCAGAGGGCTGGAGCGAGGTTTTAACTCCATTAGGAAACAAAGTGTAGCGCAGACTTCTTTCATGGGCGAGATTGCTGTTTGATTCACACAGATATTGGAGATGGCTACCTGTATGACTGGCTGCCCTGGCTCAGGCTCATTTTATATTTCTATACACTGACAAAATCTGAAAAGGAGATAATTAAGATTCTACCCCAGCAATGTTCAATAATATGTAATGTGATCCACAAATGTAACTTTAGATGTCTTGATAGTCACATTTTTAACATAAAACCTAATAGGTGAAATTAATGCTAGTAATATAGTTTATCCAATCGAAGATATCCAAAATGTCACAACTATAAATCAATATAAAACTATTACTTATTAGTATGAGATTCTTTTTATTAGTCTTTTGAAGTCCAGAGTGCATGTCTCACACATATTGAATTGGACAAAATGCATTTCACCTGTTAAAAAGCCACATGAGGCTACTGTATTGAACAGCATAATTCTACACATTAGATTGTTAAGATTTTTATATCAAGTCATTGAAACTATGTTGGAAAAGAGCCTTTCATATTAAACAAAAGACAGATGGCTCCTCAAGTGTCCACTCTAAAAAAATCCATAATTCTATTTTCAAACATAATGAGAAGCAAAAGTAAGTTACAAGGTGAATAAATGAGAAAACTATGTTATTTTATTTCTGCAATGTATGGTATGACAATAGTTTGGCTCTTATTTGATTCGTATTTTTTACTTACATGTTAAAATATTATATGTTAAAATTTTTAGTTATAAGAATATAAATTTAACATCTGCTACAACATACTTACTGTATGTACTTAGCAATCCTTCATATTGTACAATCAATCCCACGGTATAAAGCTGCTGCAGGAATCCAGGGTCATTTAAACTTGAATGCAATTTGATGATAAAACCACAAACCAATCCAGCAAGCTAAAATAAAAATTGAAGAAATTTACTAAGATCAAGAGACTCAGAGTTTTAAATATTTTAAGACTTTAGAGGCATCATGAATTGAATTTACGAATGCCAATCTGTACAGCAAACTGTAATTATTCACATAGGCATACTGAAACAAGCTGACATCATTTGCTCTAGCAAGGTACTAAATGAAATCTTGTGCTGGTAATATTGCAGAATGGGACACGGCGTGGACTTTGGAACCAGAGAGATGTGTGTGTTCATCTGCTATCCACCATATAACAGTGAAATTGTTTAATAATAATTTCAAATGCTCTTTGCATGAGTAGATACAGTAGTACTCACTTCACAGCCATTCAAAGGCTACAATAGAGAAGTATGTAGAAGGCAGAAATCATGTCTAGATCCTGTGTGGAAGCATTTATCATTAGATTGCCTGTGGATAATGCATGGCATGGAGAGTTGGTGATAATATATTCAATCCCTGGAATGCTTAGGAGGGAAGCCCACTGTTTCTTTTCCTCCATATGTTTCATCTATAAAACTCACCCACAAGGGTGACAAGTGTGAAGGCAGGCAGCATTGTGCCTCTGTATGGCAGGCAGCATTGTGCCTCTGTATTGCATGCTGGCGGGGGTGTTATAAATAGTGTTGGGGATAGGCAGGCAAGGTAGTTCAGCCAAGCCTCTCATCAAGTCTTATGTTTTAAGCTTTAAAAACAAACAAAAAAATATATTAGAAGGAAGTTGTATAAATAAAATGATTTCTTTTGCCAAGTCTGAGCTGGCCACTTACATTGCAAGGTAGTTCCCAACTGTTATGGCATTCCCTATATCATAATACAAGAATGGGTTTTCTTCATTTCCAAGACACTTCACAAACCCCAGTTTAGAGACACATACTTAAACTCTTATAAACTATCCCCATGTGATATTCAGTTCATGCATATGCATGAGGGGACCTTGGGGTATCAGATCTTTACAATCAAATGGCAGAAAGGAAAAGTCCATGAGCAGCAAGGATGGATGAGTGACAATCCCACATTGTTCTGCACAAACAATAGCGGGCACCTACTGCTTGGCTGAAGACGATGTCTCTTCTCAGTGTGAGCATCAAACACTGTGGCAAGCTGTATGCCAGTTCCTGGAGAAGCACAAACGTCAGGGACTGCTTGGCTCGGTTCACGACTTCTCCCATGCAGTCTTTCAGAGTGAGGATGAGGGGGTACAGCTGCTCATACCAGTCCTCTGAGGGAGAATGCAAGAAGAATGCAGTAGGTAAATAAAAATGTCTTAGAATACAGAACACCTTACCACTTTTTTTCCTTCAGTGAAATTATACACACTATTAAGGATCAATACCAATTATATTTCAGGATCTCTAACTGTAGTCTCTTGCCTCACTCCTCTTGCCCAGAATCACACTTGTATACAGCCAGCCACTCACAGATGTTTTCTCCACAAGGATGAATTCAACATACTCGTAGTAAACTTGCTCCTCTCTCTGTTTATTCCTCACCTGCAACTGCACCTGTGCTGCTGTGTGTTTCAGTGTGTGCCACCACTGTACTCCTCTCAGGCCTTAAACAAAAGTTTTCATGGACCCCTCTTAGAGTTTTCATGTTATCTTGATTATGAAACAATTTTCTCAAATAAATTGGTAATCCACAAGACATTCAACTTCATCTTCCCTTCTCTCAGTCCCATGGTTTGTTCCCCATAAGCAGTCTCCCTCTCTCCAGTCCTTCTCTACTCAAGTCCTCCCTCAACAGTGTGCTAGAATGATGCTTCTAATCAGGGTGACTCCATTCTCCCACTCACAGTCACTTCTTCACTTAAAATATTTTCAAACATCGACATATCCAGAGTATACTCCAAACTCATATACATGAGCCTTATTAATGATCTTAATAGCTAGTTACTTGTCTGAGAACTTCAGTTTCAGTACTGATTCTCAGGTGAGCTGGACAACTTTGGATTCCCTGATCATGTCCTTATTCTTGTAAAGTCCTATGTTCTCTCCTAAAATGTTCTTCCTTTAGCTATCCTCTTGAAAAACAATATCTTTTCTGCAACTTGAGCTCAGAATTTCTTTGCTCCAGGAAGTCTTCCTTGATTTGTCCCAACCCCTGAAGTTTGACTTTCTTTGGTATTTCACTTCACTATTGAACCTTCAGTTCCTTTTGATCTTCGGTTCACTTTATTTGATACCCAACGTTCATGTCCTTTTTCTTCTAGAATTGCTCTCACATTGCTTTTCATGAGAATGAGGTCTCACTAAAGCCAAGGGACTTATTTTTTAACCACAGAATGAATCTACAGCACCTAACATAATGACAGGAAGATAGAAAACATTCTGTTATAGTTTTAAATCAATGAGCAAAATTAGAATAAAATAAGTAAAAATTAAAAATATAAAGAAGAGGGAGAAAGGTGCAGTTTGACAGTATTTTGGTTTTCAAATCTCAAGTTAGAATGAAAAACTGAAACCACCTCGGCTATTTGCCTAGGTTTCAGATATACACCAATTGTACAATTATGAACTTGGTTTATGATTTAGAAACAAATTGTACTCTATTTCAGTTTATTTGAGTTCAAAGTCTTGATAAATGTCACATACTATTATTTTTAGGATATATGACATTCCACTAATAGATAAATAAGCATCAGTACGACAAATATAATTTAATATGAGTATGTTCTGCAAGATAATTGGGAAGCCAGATCTGAATGATACTCTAAGCAGCACCATGAGTGATGGGAATTGCCATAGCCAGTTAAGACCTTGAAAATGATAATGAATGCGAATGATAAAAAAATAATTCTTTCATTAGATCTACTGTCATGTATTTGTATATTAATGTAACAACTAGATGAGATTAACCCAAACATTTAAAAGAATAATTAATGGTCCCAATCTAATAAAAGCATACTGTTTTATCAGTTGTTATGTAAATAGTTTTGTGATATTAGAAGCCATTTTTTATACTACAGATTTAAGTGATAAAGGAATTTAAAAAAGGGGAAAGCACAATCCAGTGAATGGTTTAAAATATATAATTATTTGATAAAAATTCAATTACAGGTACCCTAGAATGAAATATTTAAAATGGTCTATTCTAGAAAGCATTGTGTATTGACTCTTATGCCAGCAGAATATGTAAAAGACAATGTAGGGCCCAACACGATAGCATAGTGGTTAAAGTCCTCGCCTTTCACACGCCAGGATCCCATATGGGCGCCGGTTTGTATCCCAGCAGCTCCACTTGCCATCCAGCTCCCTGCTTGTGGCCTGGGAAAGCAGTTGAGGACAGCTCAGAGCCTTGGGAACTGCACCTGCATGGAAGACCCAGAAGAGGCACCTGGCTTTGGATTGGAGCAGCTCTAGTCAATGCAGCAGCTGGGGTGGGGGGGTGGTGTTGAACCATTGGACAGAAGATCTTCCTCTCTGTCTCTCCTCCTCTCTGTATATCCGCCTTTCCAATAAAAACAAATAAACATTTTTAAAAAAGACAATATATTATACCTATTTGGAGAATAAAAGACACATCACAGAAAGCATAAAGGAACAGTTCACATTTTTTTAATTGTTTGCACATCTTACATGTTTTCTCTCTCATTCTTAGGTAAGCATTGCTGTCAATATGAATAAGTATGGCAACACATACACACACGTACAAACTAGAAAACATGTTCAGTAAATTGACCCAGACATAGATAACCTCAGATTCTTCTTGAATACCAAACATAAAATAAATCTTGTGTGCAGCAGGTGGCGCTGGTTCATCAGGCTGTGGTAGAATTGGCTTTATAAGCATCCAGCTAATTTTCATCTTATATATTTGCATAGTTTGCAAACATTCTGCATAAATTGTTTAAACACATACCAAGACACAAGCCTGTAAGAAGTGATTAAAAACTTGTTCATGAGTGTTACATGCTCTTTCCTATCAGAAAAAAGAAATTTAGGCTACCGAATCATTTTTCCCATAATGATATTGTGAGAAAAAATCAAATTAAATATAACTTTTAGCTTCCCTTAAAGATATTTAAAATAGAAAACCTCACAATCATTTAGCCCATGAATTCTTAGCCAGACAGATTAACCAGATAACCAAAGAAACAGTACCGTGCATATCCCTACCAAAACAGAAGCAGAAATCTAGAAAAAGAGGTTTATGCTAAACCTAGAAGGAGTGTTATATGATTCATATGTTAACAATATTCTAATGTAATTATAGATAACTTCCACAGCGAAGATGTAAGGAAAATGTTAATGTAGAAAAACATTAATTATGAAAGTGAAAATTCCAATTTGGTGATCAAGGTAAAATTTCTTAAAAGTAACATGATTCCTATGGGGAGACATAAGCAAGGAATCTAGACATACATATTATCGAGCAAAGGAACAATTTATTCCCAGCAAGTAAATGCAAATCGAAACAGCAGAATGCAAATCGCAATGACTACAGGTTTGTACTCTGTTAATACTCACTCAGTGTAAATCTTAGGGCTGAAAGAAACACAATGGGGGTATGACAGGCCAAGGAAAGGGCAAAATCTGTTCAAAAACGACTTTTTGCTTCACTGAACACTCCAAATCATTATTGTAAATGAACAGCAAATGCTTTAGTTTTTACTTTAAAAAATGTTTTTAGGAAAAGAAAAACAAAAACCCTTCAACTACTCTCTCTTCTTTCAAACAAACGCACAAATGCACACACACACACACACACACACACACACACACACACACACACACACACACACACACTACTCTCATCTCTGAAACACACACCGGCATGCACACGGATACACACTACAGGCACACACAGAGATACACACATCTCTGTGTAGCTGGGAGCTGACGGGGCACCTTCACTTCTCACAGCGCCTCACCACTCCAGCTGGCACTTAAATGCAACACCCTCCCTTGGGCTTCCTTTCATACAAAGGAAAATGTGAAGCGAATGTTTTAGCATCTGTATAAAAACTTGCTGAGGAGACTCCTTAACCCAGTGACCATCAGGCAGACTCTTTCCTCAGGAAAACATAAAATGCATGTGGCTTAGCTGAGCTTTTCCTGAGCTCTGTGAAGAGGGCTGGAAGGCATCCAAGAAGAGTTGTTTTGCAGCCCTTGACTTGCTTCTCTTAATGTATTCAAGTGAACTCACCAAAGGATTCAAAGAATGGCTGCTGAGTGCCCCCCTCACCTCCTCCACATAGCATCCCTTTCCTGTACAGGATGTTCGCATGCTCTGAGTTTGATGGTTCCTACTTTACTCAGGAGGAAAATGAAACAGCCAGACACCAACTAACTGTAGCAGAACATAATGCTTTCTTTCCAATTTCTGAGCCATTTTCTTCTCAAGTGTTTGATCTCTGCTCATTTAAAATAATTAACTTTACAAAAACTTACAACCATTGTTATTTTTCTTATTGCAAATTTTAAGACATAGAAAACAAGCTAAGGGCCCAGCACAGTGGCGCAGTGGTTAAGGTCCTCGCCTTGCATGCCCGGGATCCCATATGGGCGCCGGTTCTATCCCAGCAGCCCCGCTTCCCTTCCAGCTCCCTGCCTGTGGCCTGGGAAAGCAGTCGAGGACAGCCCAAAGCTTTGGAACCCTGCACCCGTGTGGGAGACCCGGAAGAGGCTCCTGGCTTCGGACCGGCATAGTATCGGCCCGTTGCGCTCAATTGGGGAGTGAATCATCGGATGGAAGATCTTCCTCTCTATCTCTCCTCTCTGTATATCCGCCTTTCCAATAAAAAAAATAATAAAAATAAATCTTTAAAAAAATAAAAAGGAAAACAAGCTAAGATATTTACACACACATGGAATTTCTATATAAATGGATAAGAATTGAACCTAGCTCTTAGAATTTGTCTAAGGTGAAAAGATACTGCCAAGTTCTTAATGTCACAAGATGAATGCAGACAAAGCCTTCAGTCAAGCAGCTCTGTGCTATGCTCAGCTATGCTCATATCCCAGACAGCGCAGAAACAATTATGGGTACAGTACTGAGGGTTCAGGGAAGAGGGGATTAACACCATGCTCACAGAATTACTGTTGACTTGGACAATTTATATCCAGTGCCACCCTAGAGACAGCTATCTAACTGCCTGTATGGTACTCTGAATGAGATTTCTGTCTTTCAGTACAATTTTACAATACGAGCTTGTAATAGAGAGAGGAATTATTGACACGTTCTCCTCTTCAGATATTTCATAATCAACTTCCTTTGTAT